ACAAGACTTATGTGGATACATGTGTGTCTGTATAAGCTGAGGGGAAAAAACGCCAGTTAACTGGAGGGTAGGCGTGGTTTCAGATCGGGACATACTGACTTCTTATTTTGTATGACTGACGAGTAGTGGAATTATATGCCCTTTTTCTTTCCTTTCTCTGCTTTTTGTAGTTTTATAGAGTAAAATTGTTTGTAACTAAAGTGTTACTGATTTTGTCCAAAAGATATGTTTTCACTAGGAGAAAAATTCAAATAATCCAGAAGAGTGCAAAAGAGATTTTTCTCTTTGATTAAAAAAATAAATATCCTATTAATGCTTCATTTTTTATTTCCTTAATCACTACAAAGTATAGTATCTTCTCCTAGATTTATTAGCTCTTTGCTTTTCTTTTTCTATAAACTGCTTTTCACTTCCTTTGTCTAGACTTCTTTTGGCTTGATTTGGGTGTTTTATTTTCCAATTTACAGAAACGTTGCATGTTGGGGATGTTAACCCACTGCTACCGCTCATGTTGCAGATGGTACCATGTCCTTCACCCCAGAAAGTTAAACATTTTCAGGTGGATACCTCTATTAATTTTCCTCCTGGCTTCCCAAGTTTAGATGGGTAATTGCCCATATACTCCTCAGAATTTTGTTTTTTCCGTTAAGATCGTTAACTGACGTAGGCTGCATTTTAGGATACGGTGGGAAACAGGGCTCTACTTTATTTTCTTCCAAACGCACAGCCAGTCGGTCTAATAGCATTCACTGAATAATACTTTCCTCAACTGATACAAAGACTTCAGAATATATCAGATTTTCCTATTTGTAGCGACGAGTATCTGTACACGTGCGTGACGTGTGTTATCTACCCGTGCACACCCACATGGTACTTATGGTGTTCTGGACTCTACTGTCTTCTGCTGCTTGGTCTAGCCCGTGTAACGCGATGGAGCTCAGTCAAAAGTCCTCACTCACCTGCCCTTCTTCATCAAACGCCATGACCACCACAGCAGCTCCAAACTTCTTAATCTTTCTAGCCTTCTCCAGGAAGTCACCCTCGCCCTCCTTCAGACTAATGCTATTGACAATGCACTTCCCTTGGCAGCATTTCAGCCCGGCTTCAATCACAGCAAAATTGGAGGAGTCGATGCACAAGGGCACCTGAGATCAGAAGGGCAAGAAAAGTCACAGAAAAATTACAAGTCACTACAAACTCCCACCCAAGGGCTCCCAAATATTCCTTATTTCTTATTTAGGAAAGCAACAAACAAGTAATAATAGTGTGGAAGAAAGAGGATTTTAAGGTACTCATTCTTAAAGCCCAAAATACTTGGGAGTAATTCCAGTCTTACAAGAGACCCCACGTAGGAACCAGAAATTTATAAATCAAAGATCACGACTAAACACTGGAATGAAACCACTGAGGTCAGCTCACCGGCTTCATTTCCAGGTTACACTTTCGAGTGCCTAAACTAAATCTCCAACAGGATTCAGAACATCCCTGATCTGACTCTGGGGTTAATACTCAGCCTTGTACACCTTCAGGAACAGCCTTCCAGCCAAGTTATTCAAATTCAATCTTCCCTTTAGAAAATCAAGTTCTTGGGATGCCCGGGTGGCTCAGTCAGTTAAGCATCTGACTTCAGTTCAGGTAATGATCTTATGGTCCTTGAGTCTGAGCCCCACATCGGGCTCTGCGTTGACAGTTCAGAGCCTGAAGCCTGCTTCGGATTCTGTGTCTCCCTCTCTCTCCGCCCCCTCCCATGCTTACACCCTATCTCATTCTCACAAATAAACAAACATTAAAAATTTTTTTAAAAAGAGAAAGAAAAGAAAATCAATTTCCTGACTGGGGGCGGGGGTGTTTAGAAGAGTTTTAGAAGTAGAAGCGTTTTACTATTAGAAAGGAAAAGATGTAATATTTAATAAAAGCATATAACTAAAATAAAGGACAAAACTGGAACGCACAGATGAGAACGGGTTCATTTTTAACAGTCTCTGTGCATTCATGCCTCTGTTCCAGGAAAAGTAAAAGTAAGTAAGGGTTCCAAGGCAGGACTAGCTTCCCAAGCAAAGAAATGAAAGAGGGCAGCTGATCTAAGCTCCATTACTTAAAGTGACGCCCACGTCAGGCCCCGTGCTAGACTGAGGGGCACTGATGGAGCAGGAGGCTCCCGGGCTTCCCCAAGCTTGTTAAGATAAACGACTAGACACACAGTGCCATGAAGTGTGGGTAACGCGGGGGCAGGTGAGCAGCATGCCTCGGAGGCACCTTGCCCCACGTAGGGCAGATAGAGAGCAGGGCAGGAGAACGCAGGGAAGGTTCCCAGGGCAGTCGGCTCATCCGTAGGCCACTCTTCCAAAGCAGAGCATGATGGAACAAGGGAGCCATCGACTCTGCTCTTTCTTACCACACTGGCAGTGACAGGTTTGCTAGGAAAGGGGTCAGGCACCAGTGACGATACCAGGCCCACGTTCTAAACTGCTGGCTGAGTTTGGTGTCCCAGCTGTGCTGGTAAATATGGGCTAGTCACACGTTTTTATGCTCGACTCCAGTTGTTCATAATTTGGTCTCGAGTAAATTGTGGTAGGAGGTCAAAACCAGGAGAGATCAAGACAAAGTTACTGGAGCAATCAGAACAGTAATTCATAAGGTCTTCGGTTACTTGAGGCTGTTCCTTGTTGAGGCACTCCTATGTTCACGATTCACGAGTCAGACAAAGCAGCGGAAAGAAACGCGGGTCAACAGTCAGCGGACTTGCCTGGGACCGTGCGGAGAGTCTTCCGACCCCAGCAGAGCCCCCTTCCCCACCGCTCAGCAGATAAAAAGCTGCTCCCCCTCTCATTCTGATGGACTTGGAACGAGTCATTTGGTTTCTCCGCACCTTAAATTCTCAAAATATTTACTCCCAGAGGAGTGACAGGGCTTTTGACTGAGGAGTTTTAAGCCACAAATGAAAGACGGTCGATGTAATTCACTGCTTACCACAAGATGTCTAACTTAAGCGTTTGCCATGGGCCTAATGAAAGGCAGACAGCCTCGTCCCTCAAAGCACTAGGAAGTTTCCTTTAAGAAGAACTTCACAAATCACTTCTCACCGCAAATTCAATGGTAGAAAATGAAGTAAAATTTTTAAAGATTTTAGAATCCATCTAAAAAATATTTTTAAAACTGGACACAATTAACTTTCATCTTTTAAAGAACAAATGTAAAAGCTCACATAGAATGCTTCAATTTAATCTTGTTTTATAATTTGTTTACTCTGATAAGCCCAAATGGGTCTCTTCTTCCTGCAATAAAGAAGAACTGGCTGAGCGCCCCTGTGTTAGAAATGGAGCCCATGACTTGGTAAAAGCGGGTAATTGCATCCTTCGGAGACATGGTAAGCAGGTTCCTAGGCCATCCAGACATCAGAGGAAACTCAATTCTTGTGAGCAATTCCAGAAGCCTTGGAAACAGCCGAGCTGAAGTCACAGCTCTCTCTGGTTTATATCAAAAGGCTGCCATTAAAGGAGAAACTGACAATCAGAAACTGTTGGGTGCTCACCGTAAGAAACCAGAAAACCAGTGTATGAGAGGACAGACCCGTGGGACAATTGACAAGGTTAAATGAGCGACAGAGTGAGGGCAGGTGAACTCCCTTGGGGAATACACATTTTGTACAACCTTGGCAATGTCAGGCTCAGAAGCAATAAAGTTGCAAAATCTGGTCATTGCACTTGTACCATCCAGCATCCCATCATCCATGTTGATGTCCAACACCTGGGCTCCCATTTCCACCTGCACTTTGGCAATGCTCAGAGCTTCCTGAGGAAAGAATGCCAGAGGAGGCAGCATTAGGAGAGGGCGACCAGAGAGAAGGCAGGCCAAAGTCATCCCTACCTTCCCGGCAGTCCTTCCAAATCAGACTAGACTGGCCAGCCACCCCGACCCTGGGCCCGCTCTCCTCCCACCAATCATCACAGACGGACGACCGACCCTTCTTTAACATCTCCTCCATCGCATCATTTCATCACTCAGAATCCACCAAGGCGCCGTTTTTCCTGCCATAGAGAAGCTACACTCCCCAGCCTGGTGTCCCAGGCCCGCCGTGACCTGGCCCTGTCTTCTTACCTAACTGAACTCCCCATTCCTCCCCTCCTGGTTCCCTTCACCCAGCCACGTCTTCTCCACTTCCGAGTCGCAGGTCACATCATCCCCCTGCTTGAAATACAATCTCCTTCCCTTCTATACCGTTTAGGACCCAGCTCAAGCCCCATCTCCTCCAAAAGAAGTCCTCAGAGAAACCATCCAAAACTTCTGTTACTCTTCAGTGTTTGCCAAGACATGCAAAGCATGTTGCCGGCTATTGGTAAGAGGCACATGAAATAGGAGTTAAATAAAACTCAGCAGATTTTTATACTGGAAGGTTTTTCAAATCCTGTAATACACTATTACGCACTGCAAATATCCAAGAACAGGATATTATACGCAGCATTTCCCATTCACGACCATTTAAGGAATATCTTGTAGGATCAGTGTTCCAGAGAACATCCTTCAGGTGGGAAACACTGCTTATTCCACAACGCTGTGCCGCCTCCCAACTTCTGTGACAGCTGTGATCATTATGGCATGGTTTACGACATCATCCTGTCCTCGTGATTTCAGGAGTATCAGCTTATTCCTCAAAATAGAGCGTTAAGTGTTTAGGACTCTAGAAAGGTCCTGCTTTCCTGCTCTCCTCTGAACAATGCTGGGCAAAATACACACGTTCTATAAATGCTAATTGATAGAACAGGGTTTATTTTGGGTCTTCACAGTCCACTTCGTAACGTAATAAAATAAGTAAGGATAAAATCAACGGTAGCTTCTGATGTTGTCCTTATTTTTCCCTGGCTTAAGCAAGCCACATAGACACTGTCAAGCCATCACTATGATAGAGCAGACATGGGAGCCTCTGGCATTGCCCGAGGGAAGACCATTCGTGATGACCCAAGGTTACACGGGAAAAAGACGACAACAAAATTCAAAATCAAAACCAAAAAGTGTTTTCCAGCACGCGTCCCCATCCCTATCCTGGAAGGGCTCGCACCTGGCCGGGGGCGAACGACACCGGCCCACAGAACAGCTGGCAGTGCTGCCCCACTCGGGGTGAGTCCAGCGCCGAGGCTGCACGAGCAGCAGGGAAGGGCCAGGTCTCTGCGGACTGAAATGGAGGAAGCCACCCGAGGGGGAGAGTCTTCGGCTGGCCCCTGGGGGACAGACTGGGGGAAGCAGAGAGGAGACGGGGGCAACCTGGCAAGACTGGCGATCAAGAGAGTCGGACAGCAGAGATGCCAACACCCCGCCTCTCTATTCCAGAAGAGTCACGGAGTGAGAGCGTGGAGGTCCGAGTCTCCCACACGGGCTCACTATGATGAAGTCATGTGTACAAGGTGAGCAACACTCAGCACTGGGGTTTCTTTTAGGCCAGTGCTCTTCCCAGCAAACCGCAAAGCCTTGAGGGATCATTACTTCAAGGGAAATTAGAATCAAATAAGGAGTCACCCCTACTGATCCCATTCCAGCCTCCACCGCCTCCTCGTCCTGTGGACTCTAGGCAGAGACAGCAGAGAACACTGGGGGTCTATCACTTACTTGACGGAAAACAACAGGCAAGTAGTTTAACTTGCCCCAAAGGCCCATTGGTAAGATGGGGATAATAATAATACCCATCTCACAGGTCTGTGTGGGTTCAATAGTGACGTAAAGTGCTGAGCACCATGACTGGCCCATAGTAAGACCTTACTAAAACAAAAAATTTTTTTAATGTTTGTTTATTTTTGAGAGACAGAGAAAGTGCGCACAAGCGGGGGAGGGGCAGAGAGAGAGGGAGACACAGAATCTGAAGCAGGCTCCAGGTTCTGAGCTGTCAGCACAGAGCCCGATGCAGAGCTCGAACTCACGAACCATGAGATCATGACCTGAGCTGAAGTCAGACTTAAGCGACTGGGGCACCCAGGCGCCCCTAAATGCTAGACACTGTTACCCCCATCTGCTTGCATCTTCCTAAAACGCCCTCTGTTCTCCGTGTCAAATCTGTCAAATCTGAAGGCTGAAAGGGATGCTACAGAATGACCCTAAGAATCAAAACATAAATAGAAACATGGCCAATGGAAGAACGCCATAGAACCACAAAGGCTCATGAGGATTTTAGAGGAGAAGCGACATGTAAAAAAAAGGGCACGGCATGGGGGAGGGAGGGGTGGGGCAGAAGCAAGCCTCCTGGAATATTCGAATGACAGACCAGGATATGAGGGAGGTCTGGTGCCTGCATGGAGAGAACTGAATAGTGGCCTAAGGAGTTTGGATTTTATACCATCTGCAAAAAAATGTCACCCTGTGGCAGCTTCTGGCCTGGGGTGACAGAAGCACACAGTGGAGGCGAGCAGCAGCAGGAGCACAGGGAAAAAGACTGACAGGATGGCCAGGAACCAGCTAAGAGGCTCGGCTAGAGGGCCGCAAAGGATGACAGACGGGCCCTTTCTCGGTGAGTAAAACTAAGTCCGGTTTGATACTGGTGTCTGGAAGACCTACTTCCTAAAGCAAAACTTCAGTGACAGCTGATGATAAGATAAATCAGACTAAACTCCTCCAATTTTTTTTTTTTTTTTTTTT